GGAACAAACCAACTAATAACCCAGACTACCAACAAAATTATTACCAATAAAAACAATTTACCTACCATATTTACTCAGATAATTTACTCCAAATCCAACCTAAACCAATCACCACTATCACTATTCCCACCCCATAAAACAAAGGAGTCTTAACCGTCTCTCAAAAACTTTTTTCAACCACTTCCTGAACCTTTACTCTTTTAGCCCCAAGTTCCTTAATCTTTTGGGCTAATTGTTCCTCTCGTAATTTAGTCTGGGCTAATTCTTGTTTTAAACGAGATATCTCCTGCTGCTGTTTAGATTTCTCTGTCTGACCCTTTTGCTTCTCGGTCGCAAGTTCTTTTTTTAATCTTTCCAACTCCTCAGAATTATCTCCTTTACTTTCTAGTTCCTTTATTTTGGCTTCCAGTTGCCCTATTTTCCCATTTGCCCCCAATAAAGCTGCTTCTAGCTCTTGGATTTTACCACTTGCTAAAGATAATTCCTCCCCAATCAAATTCTTCTCTTTTTCTAACTCCTCCAATTGTTTTTCTTTCTTATTTAACAACTCTTGCCCTTTTTTAAGATTACTTTCCGCAGTTCTTAAAAGATTTTGATAATTAGTTAACTGATTAGTTTGTTGACTAATTTTCTCATTTTGTTCTCTTATTAAATTACTTTTTATTTCTGTTTCTAATCTCCTTCTCTCCTCCTCCCGTTCTTTTTCACTTAATTCCCGTGTCAAATTCTCAACTTGCTGGGTTAGGAGACCACTAGATACTGCCAAACCCGCCAACTGCCCTTCTAACTCCCTACTCTTCTCTTGCTCCTTAACCAATTCCCCTTTCACTTCATCCAACTCCCTTTCTAATCCCCTCTTCTCGGCTTGGCTAATAGTTATCTGATTATCTAATCTTTGGGCTTTTATTTCAATTTGTAATTCTAACTCTTGTTGCCTAGTTTGATATTGTTTTAATTGAGATTTTAGAGTATTTAATTCCTGTTCTTTGCTACCTAACTCTTTTTTTCACTTATCCAACTCCTGTCTAGTTTCCGTTAGAGTAGTTTCTGATTCATTTAATTTACCCTCCAACTCTCCTTTTTCTTGCTTAATTTGCTCCAACTCCTTAATCAACTCCTCCTCTGCCTGAGTTTTAACTACTAATTCCTCTCTCAACTCTACTAATTCCCTTTCTTTTTCTTTCAATTGCCCCTCCACTTCCCCTCTCTGTTTAGCCAAATCTACAATCCCATCTATCTTTTCATAAGCCTGGGTAATTTCCCCTTGGCTAAAGGAGTCTTGAGTTCGTTCAGTAATACCCTGTTTTAGTTCTATTGCCCTTTTTTCTACGGCAGTTATATCTTCCCCAATAAGGGCTGCCTCGGAGAGTTCTGCAATATATTTGTAAGTATGGCTTCAAAAGAAATAGGTATCTAATTCTTGTTCTTTATTGGTTAAGTCTTGTTTTAGTTGGGTTATTTTAGTTTCTAACTCTTGTTTTTCTTGCTTAATTTGGTTTAACTCCTGTTTTTTCCGCCAAATAGAATCAATAATTTCCGGGGCTTCATAAGCATTTCCTCAAAACCCCAAGGTCTCCCCATAACCACTATATTTATAACAAATATTTCAATATTCCTTAAAATCCCCGTCTTTTTCTTCTCATTCCTCAATTACTTTAAAGAATTTAGGGACATCAATACTTCAATAATAAGAGTCATAGAAGCAGAGAAAACAAGTAAAAAATTTCTCCCAACTAGGTAGGTTTTGCTTCCGAGAAGGGACTTGGTTTAGTCAGTTTTTAAATTCTTGTAGGTCTTTCATGGTGGTTTCTCTCTATTCCTGGGGGTAGATAATTGTTGCCGGTAAATCATTGTCAGTCTAGATTTTGGTTATTATTGGATTGTAATCACTGATAAAAGTTTTGTAAGTTAGGCATACTTAAACACTCTTTTCTCCCTATTACAATATAAAACTGTATCACCATAATAGTGGACTAATGATTGATTACAGTAAGGGCAAGAGCGATTAGTTAGTAAATATTTTCAAGTGTGGAGGTAGGAGTGGTGGCAATATTTACAAGAGGGAGAGGAGTGAGAGCAGAATAATTTAATCATTGAGTTTTTTTCATAATCATCCAATAACTAGCAGTACTAACAGTCCGCCACACCCATACCATAGAATTGGTTTTCAAGACACTTGCTGATACCAAGAACTCTCTTTCATCTTTTTAACTTCCTCTCAACTAATTAATAAATTACTCATTAACCCATATTCCTTAGTTAGTTGCTTTTTTTCATCTTTTTCTAACAATTCATACTCTTTTAGTCAATTACGAACTATTGAGTCATAACCTTTTTGTTTTATGAGGTCATAATTGAGATTGATTAGGGCTTCTGAAATGAGTTTTAAGAGGAGTTCTTCTTGGGTGAGGAAGTTTTGGAGTTTTTTGGCTCTGGTTGTTTGATGGGTGAAGTCGGAGAAGATTTTAGAGAGGGTGGTTCAAGTTTGGAGGGAGATTTTTGTTTTTATTTCTTTTTTGCCGAAGTGAGTCTGTGTGCGGTCGGGGAAGAGTTGGGGTCAGGTGATTAGTTGGCCTTGTTCGGTGTAGAGGTCTAGGTCGGGGAGAGAGTGATATTCTTCATTTTCCTGTAAAGAGGAGTAAGTAGGGAGATTGTCTATGCTTATGATGAGATTGGTAAGAACTTGGATTAGTTCTGATTCCTTAGATGGGGAATATTTCTTTTTGGCTTCTGGGCTAAGAAGATAAGTGTCCTCTTCTTCTTGGAGGATTTTAGTTTGTAAGTAAGTTTTGTATTGGTTTCAGGTCATTTAAATTATATAATATATTTTTAGTTAATAGTTAGTTAAATGACATTTAATTAAAATATAGTTAAAATATAAATATATATGAATGCAAGTCAAGAAACTCCAAATCGGAGTAAAGTAAACAAATAAAAATATGATCCTCAACCTCATCCCATTACTAGTAGTAGCAGTAGCTGGCTATTATATCTTCATAAAATTCATAGCAGGAAAGTTAGATTGTCCTTCCAACAATCCTAACATCCAAGGCCTAGAAAAAGAAGAAATAAAAGCTGCGATAAAAGAAGGTGAAACTAAGCAAAAAGAAATAAAAGATGAAATTAAAGAGTTAGATAAGGAGCGAAAGGAAATCCTTTCCGGTAGTGATTCCGATAA